AAATCAACCTATTCTCTGTGACCGTGATAAAGGCCACTTCTCAACGGCCTACAACTCTAATCTGACTGGCCTACTAACGGCTCTGCGAGCTGTCTACCTACGGCAGCTTGGAGCTCGCGCTCCTACAGAACATTTGCCACTCTACCACCCACCACCCCTGTGTGCCTCCCGCAGCAAATGCTATTACTACGTGGGGAACCAAGTGCCCTGGTTCCCCCTACACTCCCTACCCGGTTAAGGACCGTTAGTACGAATGCGCTGGGGGGCTGTCCCATCCGGCAGCCCTCTTACCCAAGGGGAGAGGATTAGGCCCTTGGTTCTGTGAATGCCCGCCAGCTTGTGACGAATCGTCCACGTGTTCAAGAACCAGCGGATCTGTCTCCGGCTCCCTTTTCCTGCTTTTGCTCTTTTTCTCCAACCTACCTTAATCGCTTCTCTCAGGCCTTGTCCGACCGCCCCTTTGATCTCTGGATCTGAAAGAGGTCTGCCTTCGAACCTTGCCCTGTTCCTGTCCTTCCATATGATCTCGCATAGCAGGCCTCTCACAACCTGAGCAACATACCCCCAACCTCGTTTCTTGTGCATTTCCTTCGGGAGGAACCCAAACAGCACCCACTGTTCCCCCCATTCTATCCTTGTGTCTCCAAATTGCTCCCAGTGAAGGCTCCACCATTTCTAGATACGACGAGACGCTGGGCACTCCCACCAGAGGTGGCGAGTAGATTCGAATGGCCAAGAGCACCGAGAACATTTCAGCTCAACTTGCATTCCTCTGCTCGTTAACCATAACGCTGAGGGAGTGACAAGGAGGGAGATCATCCACAAAATGGATACCTGCTTCCCGTTAGGCAGCATGGACAGCGTTTCCCAGAGTGCCTGGAAGGAAGGGCCTGCGTTCGACAAATCCTCCGTTGTAACTGTCTGCCAGCGACTGATTGCCACCTCGGTAGGGGAGCGAGAGTGCCCCCGACTTAGTCTCAGGTTGTAGCCTTTGGCCACTGTGGCCTCCGTCAACCGGAGTGAGGTGTCCCTGCTCTCACCTGTGTGCCAGCTCCACGCCTCCGGGTCGATACACAGATTCCGGAGTGGGGTGTGACCCACCCAGATCCATTTTTTCCTTCTCGCTGAGTTACCACCCAGACCCACTACTCTCGCCTGAGGGGGGTTGTCCCAAATCTTGACGACCTGCTCACCCAACCGGAGCAGTTCGTTTGTATGCCTTAGGCAGGACCAACGCTCCACACACCTAAAACCACTGGGGAGAATCTCGAGGACTTTCCACTCTTCGTCTGCCTCACCTTCCGCAGAACAGTACCATGTGCTGACCGGGTCGATCCCCTCAGGGCTCAACAACTGCAACCACCTTTCAGGAATGGCGTCCAGCAGCTGTTGCCGATGTAACTCTACGTTTCTCAACGGATAGAGTGTCTCAGAAAGCGTCGCCGGCCCTTTCCAGGTGCCCAGGAGCGGGTCCCATAAATCACCAATGGTTACGACTCCTTTCCGGATCCAGGCTACCCCGAAAGAGCCGGTAGACCCGTCCGCCTTGAACCATTCCCCGTTTCCCTTTGTGATCTGGGAGTTTTCAAACAGTAACTGGGCTTGAACCTCTTCTTTTGTCACCGGTTGAGTTTGGCCTTCAGGGGGGAGGCTGCTCCAGGCTTTGATCACTTCGCGCCAGAACTGAGATTTCAATCTCTTCCGCCGAAAGGACGGAATGAATACACAGCGCCAGACGTCTTGAGGCCGGCTCAGACCCCACTCCTTCATTAAGATCTGCTCTGCAATCAGCGTCCACTGTTCCTTCACCGGCGCGTTGGCCACTCTGAGTACCCACGTGCTTAACTGAGCCTGTTTTTTCTTGGCCGGATCCACCAGATTCAGGCCCCCCTCTGCTCGTGGAAAGGTAAGCAAGTCCCATGCCACCTTGATCATGAAACCTTCCTCCCCCGTCGCCTTTGGTTTCCAAATGAAACGCGCCACCAAGTTCTTAATAACTTTCCACACATTCTCTGAGATTGCTTTGACTGAGCTCACGAACCAAGTGATGGAGAACAGGGCGACGTTGGACACCAGCACCCTCCCAACAGTTGACAAGTGCCACACATGCCCCCACAACCTTAGTCTTGCTGCTAGCTTTTGTTGCAACAGCAGGCCCTGAGTTGAAGCGTCCACGTGCAGGCTCACCAGCACACCCAGAAAACGCTCCTCCTCCCCCTCCTTGATCCGCGCCATCCCCCACTGTTCCACTAGCTCAAATTGCTTCGGCAGCAGAAAAACTGACTTATTCCAATTGACTGACGCTTCCGAGAGATGGGAGTATTCCACCAGGACTCCCTTCAAGGCCTTCAAGGATTCGCTCGAGTTCTCACTGATCATGAACAGGTCATCCGCGAGGGCTTTGACCTTGCACTGCGACCCATCATGTAGAGGTAGGCCTTTGATAACTGGGTTGCGTCGGATTCTGTTCAATACCACCTCGAATGAAACAAAACAAACAGCTTTTCAAATCGGATAAATAGGGGGAAAAGTTCAAAAAATGCTAGTTGGATCTACCTGGGGTGAAGTCCCACAGCCCAAGTTGAGTTTTCTCAACGCTGAGCTTTCTATCAGGTGTGGCATGGTGGGATGGAGCTCTGCCGTTGACGTAGTGCGAATCTAATGGTACCGAAATACAGGAGTATAACCTAATTAGATTTGCTCGTTTTGTAAATTTTTTCTTTGATGTGAAATCTGTTTTGTCGTATGCTTTGGCCCTTTTGGTTTAGGCGGGAAACCATTTTAAGTTGAGCAGGAATCTCTCATTATGTCCTTTTCAATCTGCTTATGGGACGCTGGACCCGTTTTCCAGCAGGTGACGCTCCCCACCAATAGATGGAGTCTCTCCCCGGGTGGTAGTGTTGTCTGCTCTTATCAGCAATACCATCACGGGCACGGGGGTGTCTTTTCCACAAAAAAAAAAAAAAAAAACTACCCCCCCAGGGTAGATTTCTCAACTTATGTGCCTTTCTTTTTTTTGGTTTTTTTAGACATCATTACATCCTGAAACGGAGGAACTCTGACAGCTGTGTTTGGCTCTCTGGCATCAATTTAAACTGGTTTCCTTCTTTGGGCAAGGAACGCATTTGGCCATCCAGGTTGTCCCTGTTCATTCTGCAAATGGTGACCTCCTGTCCCCTCACCATGGGGAGTATCCCTTTTTTTTTTTTTTTTTTTTTAAAAAAAACCGAGCGGGTGCTAGGGGTGCTGGTAAGAGCAGACACCGCTAGCACTCCCAGGGAGGCTCCATCTATTGGTGGGGAGCAACACCTGCTGGAAAGCGGGTCCAGCGTCCCTGAACATTCGGAAAATGGTTTTGTATAAGTGACCAGATCTATTGTAGCGTTGGGTGTGCTAGCCCAGGCTGATATCAGACATTTGTCAGTCTAGGTAACTACAGTGTTTGTCCCACCCTGGGCTGTGGCTATTTCTCCTTTCAGTCCAGGTCCCCGTTGTCCCATGGAGCTGCTAATGACACGGGAGTATCCCTTTTCCACGGAGACATTCACTCCGACTGTGCCAGACGTGTTTCATTTCTCCGAGTTACGTAACCATTGCGTTTTCTAAACTTCACTTGGGCGGTGGGACTTCACCCCCGAGCAGCGTTTGTTTTTTCTTTCCGTTTGACTGTTGTTTCTTTCTGTTCTCTTTTTTTCAATTATGTTATAAGGGCAACGGCCTTCGGATGTCAGTCTTTCGATTGCTCCAGGTGAGTTCAGACTCTTTTTCAGAGTTACATCTGGGTGGGGGGACCTGGATTCGAACTTGGGTCTGTGGTTCTACAGTTCATGGGTGGACCAGCTGAGTTACAGCAGTAGGTCGTTCTTTCTTTAAATAAGGGGGGCCTCGTTCGACACCACTTGAACTCTTATAAGGGTTGACGGAAAATTCTTCGTTCCACCCCTCCCTAATGACCCCACCGTAATGTTGTCACTTTGAATTCCTGCTCTCAAGTGTGCATACTTGAAACTCTCAAGTGCCGCTGGGGCCAAATCGCACTTGGAACTCAAGGTACCTCCCGGAGGTACCTTGAGTTCAAGTGCCAGCGGATACCACCAGCACTCCAAGTGGGGCTTTTTTCTTCTTTTCTTTTTTTTCCAGCAGGCGATCCTGGTCCAGGATTGGTCAGCAAGCCGTGGAGTTCTGTTTCAAGACTTTAGTGCAGGCTGTTCAAGGGTTTCCTCAAGTGTACATGGAACCATAAATGGAGTAAGGGGCTCGTTAGACACTCCTCGGGCGCGTAAATTCCCCCAGGGATTCATCGTTCCACCTATCCTCAGGAAAAAAAAGGAAAGCAAAAGTGAAAACATTTCCTCAGGGAATCCTCGGGGCATCCTCGGGCTACAGCCATTTTGCGGCCTCTCCCAAGGTACCTCACGAGGTCCCTCTGCGGTGAAGGATCCGCAATAATTGGAGCGGCGAGGGCACCCGTCGTCGGCAGGAAATTTTTGTCGGCTGGTCCATTGGAGTTCCTACGGGGCTGCGCACGGACATCATCGCTCTTCAACGTTCGGCTTCCAGGAACCGTACCCCAATGGCAACCGTTGGTGGCCTGCCGACCCCCGTCGATGTCGTCCACCGCCGTTCTCCCTCGCAGTGCACGCCGCCAAACAGAAAGGGGCGCAACGGACAGAAAATTCAAATATTTGAGGCGGCCGAATTTGCTATTCCTAGCTGTGCTACACGACGTGAAACGTGATGATGGTGTTTGTCGGATTCCCAAGTCTGTCGTTTGCTGCCCTCGGCTTGTCGCCGTTTGCTGGATCCGTACCGGCGTGGTGCAGTTACCGCCCTTCCCCACGTGTTGTTCATGGCCGACATCTTCCGAAGACTACCGCTGTTGTTCGTGGTCGTGATCACGCTCCTTGTCGTCGTCTTCCACGTGTGCATCCTAGGTAGGCTGCCTGGACGCACGCGCAAGAGGCGTTTAGCGATGAAGGGCGTCATCATGGAGGGCGGCAGGCGAAGAAAAAGACTCATGTGGACTGATTCGCAAGATACGGGCCACACAACCTCTCGACATGCTGTCCAAGGCCGTACGGCCCGTCTGCATACGCGTACCTGCCACCGCAGGAACAACCTATGCCCCGCACATCAGATGAGGAGGCAGAGGAAGCACGGTCACGTACCGTGGCACTGGGACGTGGATCCACCCAGGAGTGGGCGGGGAGCCAGTTGTATGGGTATCGTGAGACGACGTCTCGACAGTCTTTCACCGAACTACTGGAAGACGGCATTTGCGAAAGCGACAATGCAGTTGGCGCGAATCTTTCATTTGGGCTGTGTAGTGGGAGCTCATCAGCCATGACAAACATTGTCCTCGTCAAACCCCAACCCGACGTCGACGCGGGGCAAGTGACAACAGTCGGCCGATCTGCAAAGGCTCCGAGCGGAGACTGGGTGGCGGCAAAGAAGACAAGGGAGCGTCAGAGACTGCAATTGTCGGTGTCATCAGTGCCACATGCTGCTGCCGGTCGTCCAAACTGGATGCAGCCACATCACCGTTGTCGGGGGGTGGAAGCAAGGGGAGCTTCACGGCTGCCTGCGTGCCGGCGGACGAAGATTTTGTGGGCGGTCTTGGTAAGCGGGTCGGGAGGCAGGTGTGGGTGAAACATCAACAGCAGGTGGGCCGAGAACGTGAGGAGTTCATAACGCGGGGGGTCCAGCAACGGCGCGTGCGGGAGGTGAGGACAGAGAAGGAACCACGGTGGTTGACGTAGACGATTATGACGATGACGACGAGGACGACAAAACGGCCGACGTTTGACCGATCCGGCAGAAATCCATGGGTGGTTGGTATAGGATGAGGAAGGCTTCCTCGTCGACAGCGCGGCGAGGAAAAAAGGGGGCGGCTGCGGGGAACAAGGGGGAAGGCGACATGGGCGGCGAGGGCGGGTGAAACTTCTGGTCAGTCGACCACATGGTCGCCCTCATCAGGGCCAAGTGGGACCAGGATGCACATCTGCTGGGGATGGGCCACGCATATGCTCGCATGAAGCCAAGGGAATGGAAGTGGGCGGATGTTCAAGAGAGGTTGGCGTGGAGAGAATACTCGACAAATGCAGGACAAAATGGGACAACTTGATGCAACAGTTTAAGATGGTGCACCTGTTCCAAGGGTGGGGCGTCCGGGAAACATTACTTTTTTCAATTGACAGGGAAGGAGAGGTCTGCTCATGATTTCAATTTCACCATGAATTGGGCCGTGTACGAGGAGATAAAGGCTTCTACCGTGAAGAGTCACACCATACACCTGAAGCATGTAGCCGACACAAGAGGTGTTGGTGGTGTGCATGTGTCGTCCGGGTTTTCAGGCGGGCAAGAATCTGTCGACGATGGGGACAGGGGTGCCGGCGGCGAAGACGAAGACGAGAGCTCCACGAAAGGGTCATCACCAGCGAGTCAACGACGGGTAGCACAGACGGTTTCGGTAAGCGAAAGAACATGAGGCAGAAGACTTTTGAAGCTCTCACGGAGTGCATGGAGAAGCACTGGATGCTAATGGCGACGACGATGGGTAGTGCTAGCAAGAGGCAGTGTTCCATTCAACTTCGACAATGCGAAGCCATGGATGCAAAGGTGGAGGTGTTGAGAAAGCACTACGAGGCGTCAGACGATGTGAGCAAGCTCATGTGTCAAGCATTGTTGGAGATAGCGAAGGCTATAGCCCATAGAGGAGAGGTAGAAAAGGGATTCCTGCCGTTCATGAGATTGCCCGGGGAACTTACTTACTGCCCTTCACCGCTTGCATTGTCGTCTGTCGCCGTGGACGCCCCATGAACAACAATCCTCCCGTTGTCCTTGGTCAGCATGCCTTCCTGGCTGCCTCTCCATGTCTCATAGGGGGGAAGGGAGGGGGGGGGGGGGGGGGGGGGGGGGAGAGCTGGCACGGAGTCTGAGGAGGAGGAGGAGGAGGAGGAGGAGGGTAACGGGGCGGAGGATGACGACGACGAGGACGAGGAGGATGAGTAAGAAGGGGGGGGGGGGGGGGGGGGGGGGGGGGGGGGGGAGCGCATTGGGGTTGCGGAAAAGAAGTCTGTGCGTTTAACTACGTGTGTGTTGTTGTTTTTTTGTTTCCATCTCCGTTTTGACGATGACGACAAAACAGTCGTTGGGGAGAAGGATGGGGTGGGGTTAAGAAGCACAGGTGGCGTCGCGGAGAGGATGGGTAACGTCGCATCGTCAGGTACGTCGGGGGCGACCGCGCATTGTCGAAGGACACAGTCGGTGGTTGACGGGGGTCGGTCGGTTGCTGACCCAGTGCTTGTGTCGCGCGTGGCATACGACGGGGGTGTCAACATCCCATGTGGAGAGGGGGGGATGCGTTGGCGTGCACTCGCCTGGGCGTGGTTGAGAGTTCTCTTACGACATCCTGGATTGTTATGTCTTCGCATTGAGTGACAGATGTCGAAGGGGAGGAGAGAGAGAGATAGATAGAGAGAGAGAGAGAGAGAGAGATGTGTTCATTGTCAATTCACAGACAAACTTTTCTAGGTTTCCACAACTGTAATTTGGTGTGTTTGCAATTGCATGTGTGGGGTCTTTGTGCGATCGTGATGCATGCAATAACACCTTTGTCATGTGTGCTTAACGTCGTTGTTTGTTGTGCATGTGAGTGTATGAGTAAGTGATGTTGTTCGTGTGCCACGTTTGTCAGATTTAGGGTTCCATGTGTTGTGATGGATGAACTATGTTTGTATTGTGCCTTGGAAAAGGATGCCCCTCTTCCGTTGTCGACAACACACACGTCACATGCATTGGCCATTGAATGCCTGTTGTGCGCTACACGACCATCACACCATCCACACGCACGAGACAATAAACGTGAAATCACAGGCTGTCGCAACGAAGGTTCCGAGAAAACACACACACAAGCGCAAACAAGAAGGCGCACATGCATGCTTGGGAAGCAGATCAACCTCCCAACACAATGCCACCACGTGTTCCACAACACCACTGTAAAAGAAGCAAAACTTTCAACATTCAACAACATCAGACACCATGCATACGCACAAGTTTCGAAAGAACAAAGCACAGCATGACAGGGCGTCCAAAGAGCCAACAGACTGTCTTGTGCAAGAGGAGGACGTTAATCGGATGTCTCAAAAGGACACAATTGCCCACACAGGGGTCGTTCGCCGTGTGCGGAATTCAAAACGTTGATCTCCAAATGTACCGAAGAAAACTAACCAACCGACGACACATGGCTGCGAGGATCATCTACCAAAAAACGGAAGCCCGTGACACGCGTGTGGGTCCTCACGTCCCACGATGCACACACGAGACTGCATGTCCGCTACGAAGAGGCAACACACTACCCACACGCTGATGTGAAAAATGACACTAGCGACGACGTGTGATCACAAACCTCTCCCCCC